AGGGGCGTAACATTTCCGTCACACGCTTGAGGTATTCGGCCAATCACAATGCACTGGATAGCTGGCCAATCAGAGCACACCTCGCTTTTCAGACCAATGAGCTTTGTAAAAATAGACACGTTTCAGAAAGGCAGGGCATAGAGGAGAAACAATAATGTACAGTATGGAAAATAATGTTTTTTGAACCTTAAACCACATAAACACATTTCATTACACCAAATACACAAAATAATGTACTTTTTAGCAACATCATATGACCCCTTTAATGTTTACTCATATACTGGATGATTCATTACTGCATTATCAACTAATCATTCACTCACATTTTAGCAGAACTCTGGAAAAGTACTGTAATGCTTTTGTAAATCAGGGCTGCTGGTGATACAGGTAGTTTGTCTAGTTTGTTCCAATTCCTAGCAAATATAATTATTGGTAACAACATACTTCTGTCCTCAAATAGCTCTGCTTGTGGGTGGTTCTCCTAATCCTAGTATTTGTTCCTGTTTGGTTATTATTATTATTATTTTTAACCATAACCATGCCAATATTAAAGCACTGATATATTTTATAAATGTTTTGGGGAACTAAATAATGACATTCTAAGAATGTTCTAATCAATTAGGTTTTATTTTTTCAACCATAAAACAAAGTTCCCAGAATGTTCTGGGAACCAACAATGATTGCAAAATGAAGTTGTTTTCCTTAAAGCACATTCGTTCTTAATATATCGACAGAAAGATGAAGTTTAATTTAGACTAGGAGGCACATTGGCTTTGAAGGACAGTCTTCAAAGGCTGTTAAAGAGAGGAGAGGTGAACAATTAACCTTGCATCTTCTAGAGTGTGACTTTGTGGGCTATAAACGTATAATTTCCTGTTTATCACACACCTGTTTTGGGGCCAGCTGCCAGCACATACATCCTGCCAATAAAGTGAGTGAAAGAATAGACAGTCTCTAAATAGCAGTGTCAGTAAAAGCAAGGCTTTTGAGGCTGTTATGCATAAGAGTCTTTAAAGCCTGTGCTCACAGGCACTGCCTGCCTTATGTAAGACACCACAACTATGAAAAATGACATGGCTCTTACATAATCCCGTTTAAAAGCGTTTATTGTGCTGTTATATTTGCTTTTTACATTGCACACATCTGTAAACCTTATTTTGTTCTGAACATTTAGAATACTGGTGGCGACAAAGAAGACCTAAGACGTATTAGACAAGAATGGGACAACATTCCTATTCCTAAACTTGAGCAACTTGTCTCCTCAGTCCCCAGACGTTTGCAGACTGTTATAAAAAGAAGAGGGGATGCCACAGAGTGGTAAACATGGCCTTGTCCCAACTTTTTTGAGATGTGTTGATGCCATGAAATTTAAAAACGTATTTTTTCCCTTAAAATTATACATTTTCTCAGTTTAAACATTTGATATGTTGTATTCTGAATAAACTATTGAAATGTGAAACTTCCACATCATTGCATTGTTTTTATTCACAATTTGTACAGTGTCCCAACTTTTTTGGAATCGGGTTTGTACATTTTTCAGAGTATATAATTTTTTTTTTTTTTACTTTGTGTAGACTAGCATGCAGTTCCTGTGCTGTGGTAATACTGTGTGGTTTCCATGTGAGTCACTACATCCTGTGGCTCTCTACACATATTTACAGAGCAGAGCTGTATCGAGTAATTCAAATGCAAGTCTTTAAAGGACCAACGCAATAGGGTATATGTTTGTTTTTTATAACAATAATGTTCTTTTAATTAAGTAACATAATTAATACAAAAACTATATATCTGTTCATATCAAGGTTATTATAGTTAAAACCATAAATGTTTGTTAATAAAAGGGATAGTTCACCCAAACATGAAATTCTGTCATCGTTTACTCACCCTCGAGTTGTTCCAAACCTGTACTGAGTTTATTCTTCTGCTAAACAAGATGTTATTTTGAAAAATATTGGTAACCAAACAGTTGTTGATAGCCATTGACTTATATAGTTAGAAGTCAATGGCAGTATAGACTTCTATTTTTCCATGCTTTGGATGTCAACGGTTTGATTGCCAACATTTGTTTTCAGCAGAAGAAAAAAAAAACATAGATTTGGAACAACCTTGGGCTGAGTAAATTATGACAGAATGCTCAGTCAATTGTCCCTTTAAAATAAACACGAGCTAAAATAAAATATGACCAAAAAAATGTTGTTTCCTTGATGTACTAAAATAACTACAACTGAAATTACATTAAAAAAAAATTATAAAATGTTTTATAGACATGTACCAAAAAGAAATACAATTTAATAAAACTAATAGCATCTCAAATGATAAATTAACCCTAGTTCATATGACCTCCTTTGCAATACTTTCAGAAGCATAATATTTCCAGCCTAGTACATAAAAGTATCTTTAAGTAATCTGATTGAATCCAAGGTCAACATTCCTTTCACACTGGATCTGTGGAAGATTTTGAACTGGGTTAAATGACCCTTCTTTGACCCATTCAAAAAAGTGTTGAGTTCCATTCGTCTTTGTCATTCTCAAGTCCACTCATTTCACAGTGACACTGACGGACACATTTACTTAAGAGTGGCCTGTCCTTACCATGACCTTTCCAGTCATAATTACTGGAGGTTTTTAATAACTTCAAGACAGGGTGGATTTACATTTGCACAGCAAGTACAAAGCTTTGGAATTTATGGATAAAAAAAAAAAGTTACTATATTTATCCAAGTAAATGTCTTCATCTTTGAGACATGTTATCCAACAGGCATGCTTTACTTCTCAGAATACTTAACAAAAAAAGCTAACTCTAACCAAAGCAATATTTTTTTTAAAAGAACAAAAAAATAGATACAAAAAAAATCTAAATGTTTAGGTGGATGGATGACCGTTGACACTCCAATCACTCTAATTTGAAATAGTTTATTAATTTTTGCACCTTTTTGCATTTGAACAAAAAATAAAAATAAAAAAATCAAGAAATCAGGTCTAACAGTTTTGAATACAGAGATGAATGAGATGAAACATTAATTGGTGTTAAAAGTGGCATTTTCATCATTGGCTTTTTTAGCATAAAGCAGATACAGATAAGCATCTATGCAAAAACACAAATTCATTCAGAAATGGAATGTATGCTTGTCAGATTTACATATTAGACACTTGCATAAGTTGTATAAAAATGCTATTAAAAAGCAAAAGATACAATCCCACTGAAGCATTAGAGCTCCATTTCAGATGAGCTTTTAAGTATTCTGTGGTCTAAGACTTTCCAGCTATACATATATCTCATCTTCAGTAAGAAAGGCATTAAATCAATGTCAAATCATTCATGATGAATAAGCACTGCACCATGAACCTCTGCCACAGTTCACAAACTAATAAACCTGTTCTCATGACATTAACCATACCAGCTTCAAATATCACTCTGGGTACTGGCTTTGATAGCAAAACTAAAAAATAAAAAAGGAGAGAGAGAGAGAAAGAACAAGTATTTACATAGTAATTATGCAATATGCAAAGGCTTTATGTTGCTTTGGGCAACTTCATATAAGCATCTATCAGAGTTTCTCTCCTCAGCACCTAAACAGATGAACATCAGTAAAACACAAGTCACATTACAATGTTAGTCAGTCTGAGGAAAGGAGAGATCCCGATACCCTTCAGTTCTTAGTTAATGCCTCAATAAACAGGCTCCACTCATTGTTCTCTGGGTCATAAGCCTCCATGGTGTTGAGAAACTCATTGCCATCGAAGCCCCCGACTGCACAGAGCACACCGTTCAGCACAGCCAGCCCTGCGTTGCTCCGTGCTGATGTCATGCTTCCCAGCATCCTCCACTCGTTCTTGGCTGGGTCATAGACCTCCACACAGCGCAGCGCGTGAGAGCCATCAAATCCTCCGACCACAAACAGCTTCCCTGGAAGCGGTTGAAAATTACTTAAGGCCAAGCCCTAAATCTGACAAGCTTCAGTTATTTTCCTACCAGTGAGACTTTATAACCTTGCTGGAATAAACAGTTGAAAATTTGCTAAAAATTTACTCACCCTCAGGCCATCCAAGATGTAGAGGAGTCTCTTTATTAGAACAGATTTGGAAAAATTTTGTATTACATGATTTGCTCACCAATGGAGTGAATGGGTGCCGTCAGAACTAGGGTTGGGAATTGAAAATCAATTCCAATTCCAGAATCAGATACTTGTTGTAAAATTTAAATTTCAATCCCGCATATCAATTCCCGTGTGCACATCTTTTTTTAGGTGGTGAAAAGGGGCTGTTATAAATGCATTTGTCTTTGAATCATTTATTCAAGAGATTCATTCAAAAACACTGATTCACCCAGTAATGAAACAAGTAAATCTTGAGTGAGTCATTGAATCCTTCCATTCATAAATTCCATGAGATTGTTTACTTGTCTAATGGTTTTTCTTCAGAATTGTGAGAGAACTACAACATCCATTTAAAAATGAAAAAGTCTCAATTTATCCAGAATTGTGCGGCTCTATTTTGCTCTTAATCAAGTCCAGTTTTTATGTAGCCGGCTGATTTTTGTTCATGGTATTCAGCAGCTATTAAATGTTTTGAAAAAAGAGACAGAATAAATATGTATCATCTAAATGTTTTTTTTTTAACCACATTGGAATCGAAACTGGGAATCGATAAGAATCGGAATCGATCAAATTCAAACGATACCCAACCCTAGTCAGAACAGCTCATAAAAACATCACAATAATTCACATGACTCCAGTGAAGCAAAAGCTGCATGTTTGTAATAAATCCATTGTCTAAGACACTTTTAGCTTTTTAAACATTTCTTTTTATCCGGCTATATTACAAGCTCCCCATCCATAATATTGCTTTCTCCAGTGAAATAGATGTCTTGCCTCAATCAGGAAATGTGCACAGATCAAACACTGATTACAAGGGAAAATGGTCCAAAAGTTTCTAAAATATGTTGAAGAATTTTGAGGTGAAAGGGTAACAGGGGACTTTTTCACTGGAGGAAGCATGATTATGGATTATGGACGGTTTTAAGTTAAAATGTCTTATTGGTGGATTTGTTTCTTACAAACACACAGATGGACTGGTGTCATGTGGATTACTGTGATGTTTTTATCAGAAGTTTGGACTCTCATTCTGACGGCACCCATTCACTACAGAGGATCCACTGGCAAGCAAGTCATGTAATGTTAAAGTTCATCAAATCTGTTCCAATGAAGGAATAAGTTAATCTTCATCTTGGATGGCCTGAGGGTGAGTTGTTGTTGGTGTTTTTTTTGTGAACTATTCCTTTAAACACGAGTCTCCAGTTACCTTCATACACAACCACACCAGCTCCACGACGGGCCACGTTCATGGGGACCACCAGGGTCCATGTGTTGTTTGCTGGGTTGTAGCGCTCTACTGAGTTTAAGCAGTTCCAGGACTCAGCACCACCTATCACGTACACAAATCCATTTAACTCACACACTGCCGCCTGGTGCCTCCCTAAACACAGACGAGAGACAATGTACATGGTGAGTCACACATTTAGGGTTTTACAAATGTCAAAGTCATTTCAGAACATAAAACTGAATTGACATACTGATGTTAAGGGGTGCGCAGCTAGTCCACATTTTTGTCACTGGGTCAAAGGAGTCACAATTCTTCAAGCCCTTTTGGCCACAAGGATCAGATCCACCCACCACAAAAAGCTTGTTTTGCAACGAGCACACACCTGAGAAGAAAAAATAAGAAAGATTATTCACCCCCTTTACTGTCCCTTCTAGGACTGGCGATATAGGTTTTTTTATTTTCAGCCTTCAAGACCGAACAGAAAAAGCTCATTCAAACAGATTGCAAATATTCAATATATTGCCTAGCAGGAAGTGATGCCTACCTGCATTGCAACGGTTGGTGCGGAGCTCAGGAACTTGAATCCACTCATCAGCCTTGGGGTTATACATCTCTCCACAGCTCAGCTCATCTGAGTGACCATTGGAGCCACCCATCACAAACAGCTCACCCTGAGAGAAAAACATTCATTTAGCTTTAATGGCAGATGCACCAAAGCTGCTCCAGGATTGGAAACCGTGCCTTTACCATTAACACAGCCATCTGGAAGCGGGCCCGTGGAGTGCGCATGGGGGCGATGAAAGTCCAGCAGTCCTTCTTTGGGTCATAACACTCCACAGTCCTCAAGCACTCTTCTCTGTTATAGCCACCTGGACAGGTAACAATATGTACATCAGATCTGCACACCTAGCTCCCGTTTCTATGAATTCTCTTTCCCATCTTATGTCATACTACATATGTGGTGCTTTCGTTTTATATTTGTTTTTTTCCAGCTCCACAACTATAAACACTCTGAATGCTTGTTTTGCAAAATTTGCATGAATGGCATTACAAGGCACGCATGGCATCTATGTGCTCTGGTAATAGGTAAAAAAAAATTCAGCAAAATAGTAGTATACTTTAACTGGAAGCTAAATGTAAGTTATTGTATTCTTATCCCTATAACTCAACTAAGACCTTTAATTTCCTTTTAAGGACTACTTTATCACTCTCTGGGCAAGCATACCTGCAATAATGAGCTTGCCGTCCAGTTCAGCGGTTCCCAGGCCTGAGCGAGCATAATGCATGGGCTTCAACAGCTTCTCCTGCAGATCTATTGGTTGAGCCTCAAAGCTCAGGCTCTTCAGCACACATGGCGTAGCAGATGGGGAAGTATGAGGACTGGTGCGGCCATGCAGGGAGATCACACACAGCACACCTCTCAGAACAGCCAGACACAGGTATGCGTTGTCTAGAAAAGAGCAAAGAGGCTTAGCCCCTTGACATCCAGGTAATTAAATAAACACACTAATACAGGGATATTGCTTTATGCTACCCAAAAAAAAAAAAAAACCTTTTCCATATACATAAAAAAATAAAATAATTATAAAAAAAACTAAACTCACAAAGGTTATAACATTACACTATCTGTCAAACGTTTGGAAAAACAAAATTCTATTTTAATTAATAATAGTTAAGTTACATTTATATGCCGCTTTTCTGGGTACTCAAAGCACTTTACATGAAAGCGGGGGAATCTCCTCATTATACATCTCTCCACAGCTCAGCTCATCTGAGTGACCATTGGAGCCACCCATCACAAACAGCTCACCCTGAGAGAAAAACATTCATTTAGCTTTAATGGCAGATGCACCAAAGCTGCTCCAGGATTGGAAACCGTGCCTTTACCATTAGCACAGCCATCTGGAAGCGGGCCCGTGGAGTGCGCATGGGGGCGATGAAAGTCCAGCAGTCCTTCTTTGGGTCATAACACTCCACAGTCCTCAAGCACTCTTCTCTGTTATAGCCACCTGGACAGGTAACAATATGTACATCAGATCTGCACACCTAGCTCCCGTTTCTATGAATTCTCTTTCCCATCTTATGTCATACTACATATGTGGTGCTTTCGTTTTATATTTGTTTTTTTCCAGCTCCACAACTATAAACACTCTGAATGCTTGTTTTGCAAAATTTGCATGAATGGCATTACAAGGCACGCATGGCATCTATGTGCTCTGGTAATAGGTAAAAAAAAATTCAGCAAAATAGTAGTATACTTTAACTGGAAGCTAAATGTAAGTTATTGTATTCTTATCCCTATAACTCAACTAAGACCTTTAATTTCCTTTTAAGGACTACTTTATCACTCTCTGGGCAAGCATACCTGCAATAATGAGCTTGCCGTCCAGTTCAGCGGTTCCCAGGCCTGAGCGAGCATAATGCATGGGCTTCAACAGCTTCTCCTGCAGATCTATTGGTTGAGCCTCAAAGCTCAGGCTCTTCAGCACACATGGCGTAGCAGATGGGGAAGTATGAGGACTGGTGCGGCCATGCAGGGAGATCACACACAGCACACCTCTCAGAACAGCCAGACACAGGTATGCGTTGTCTAGAAAAGAGCAAAGAGGCTTAGCCCCTTGACATCCAGGTAATTAAATAAACACACTAATACAGGGATATTGCTTTATGCTACCCAAAAAAAAAAAAAAAACCTTTTCCATATACATAAAAATAATTATAAAAAAAACTAAACTCACAAAGGTTATAACATTACACTATCTGTCAAACGTTTGGAAAAACAAAATTCTATTTTAATTAATAATAGTTAAGTTACATTTATATGCCGCTTTTCTGGGTACTCAAAGCACTTTACATGAAAGCGGGGGAATCTCCTCATCCCCCACCAGTGTGTAGCATCCCCCTGGATGATGCGACGGCAGCCATATTGCGCCAGAACGCCCACCACACACTAGCTTATTGGTGGTGATGAAGCCAATTATTATATATATTAAATCAGTATATTTTAACCACTAACTTATCCCTATGATGGCAAAGCTGAATTTTCAGCAGTCATTACTCCAGTCATTTCTATGAATTCTCTTTCCCATCTTATGTCATACTACATATGTGGTGCTTTCGTTTTATATTTGTTTTTTTCCAGCTCCACAACTATAAACACTCTGAATGCTTGTTTTGCAAAATTTGCATGAATGGCATTACAAGGCACGCATGGCATCTATGTGCTCTGGTAATAGGTAAAAAAAAATTCAGCAAAATAGTAGTATACTTTAACTGGAAGCTAAATGTAAGTTATTGTATTCTTATCCCTATAACTCAACTAAGACCTTTAATTTCCTTTTAAGGACTACTTTATCACTCTCTGGGCAAGCATACCTGCAATAATGAGCTTGCCGTCCAGTTCAGCGGTTCCCAGGCCTGAGCGAGCATAATGCATGGGCTTCAACAGCTTCTCCTGCAGATCTATTGGTTGAGCCTCAAAGCTCAGGCTCTTCAGCACACATGGCGTAGCAGATGGGGAAGTATGAGGACTGGTGCGGCCATGCAGGGAGATCACACACAGCACACCTCTCAGAACAGCCAGACACAGGTATGCGTTGTCTAGAAAAGAGCAAAGAGGCTTAGCCCCTTGACATCCAGGTAATTAAATAAACACACTAATACAGGGATATTGCTTTATGCTACCCAAAAAAAAAAAAAAAACCTTTTCCATATACATAAAAATAATTATAAAAAAAACTAAACTCACAAAGGTTATAACATTACACTATCTGTCAAACGTTTGGAAAAACAAAATTCTATTTTAATTAATAATAGTTAAGTTACATTTATATGCCGCTTTTCTGGGTACTCAAAGCACTTTACATGAAAGCGGGGGAATCTCCTCATCCACCACCAGTGTGTAGCATCCACCTGGATGATGCGACGGCAGCCATATTGCGCCAGAACGCCCACCACACACTAGCTTATTGGTGGTGATGAAGCCAATTATTATATATATTAAATCAGTATATTTTAACCACTAACTTATCCCTATGATGGCAAAGCTGAATTTTCAGCAGTCATTACTCCAGTCATCAGTGTCACATGATCCTTCAGAAATCATTCTAATATACTAATTTGGTGGACTAAAGACTTTAAATAAATGCCATTTTATTCATCAAAGGACCCTGGAGAAAAAAAAACTTGGCTTCCACAAAAATTACATTTTAAAAAGTAAAAAAAAAAAAAAAAAAAAAGTTTCAGAAAGAGATAAAAGCTGGTCCGATGAAGCACTATAGACTTACTGGTGGTCTTCTCTGAGGCAATATACTTCCATTCGTGCTTGTTGAACTGGCTGTTGGAGGGAGAGAGGCTGCCAGAGACACCTGAGCTCATCTCGTCTCTTTCTCGAGGAGGCTTCTTCTGCAAAACCAAACCAGGCAGCTCTAAACCTGCCCAAACTTCATTCCCTAACCCTACTGCATGCATATAGGCTTGGAGCCAAAGACTAAATCCATTCCATCCAGTGCCAATACCACCATTTAAGGGGTCTTCCACAGTGCACAGACAGCTAAGAACTCCCTTTTAGCGCAAACCACTTGAAACTTATTAAAATGGGAGCCATTTTAGCTATTTTGCTGTAGCTATTCTACAGCAAAGAATGCAGTGCACTGTAAGGGAGGACTGAAAACCAGTCATGTACCTGCACAAACTGGATGTGGTCATCCTCAGAGCTGTAGACCTCTGCCTGCCCCTCAAACAGGCTCCCATCATGCAATTTGTGATCTGCGGAGTAGTACAGCGTTTGCACCTGCAACAACAAGACCCATGTGGGTGTTTCCATAACAAGAACAAAGCAATGTTCTGCCTTGTTCCTTGAAGCAGTGGAGTCAGCTGCTATGAGGGAGGTCCTTGACAACTGTGTGCTGCCTGGACCTTGAGGGAGCCATGACCTTTCACATGTCTACGGTCACTGTGATTGTGGAAATTGCTGGAAGGGAGAGATCATTCCTATTATAAGTAACTTCGCTTCGGGTTAAAGAGCTATCTAAACAAATGATCGCCGCACAGTGGGATTGGAAAAAAGTTGCAAGGCTCTCAGGAACAGTGTGCACAGATGGGAGCATATGGTTTTTGGTAGGTTGACTTAGTACCACTGATGGTTGGGATCTTGCATTCTTCTTCAGGGCAGGACAAATCTGCTGTTGATGTGTATTACTACACCTACAGGAGACATGGGGAGATCAACGGGGAGGAGCAGCCATTAGAATCAAATTAATAATAGTCCAAAAAGCCCTGCTGGGGAGAAAACGTTGAGTTACAAAGACTATTCAGGCCCAGGGTATATACAGGATTCATGGAGTTAAATTTAATACATTTTAAGATTCTTTCCATACATTTTAAGACCTCATCGCCACTCCAAGTTTTAACCGGTTACATCGGCGACCCTTTACCTTACTGTACATTTACTATATATTGATTGTAAGATAGCACAACTAAACAGACTTACTTTGTGATAACTCCTTATCAATACAACATAATTCAGAAGTGGGGAACGAAGCACAAGAGAATTGAGTGACTAACCAATGCAACCCAAGAAACCAATAAACAAAACTTATAGAGGAGGGAAAATAAAGCTCTCCGAGCTAACGGGGCAATGAGTTCACGCAGTATATTCAAAAGAAGTATTGGTCATATCAACTCTTATAACTGTCTGCAAACCATAGCTGTTTTGTGGAACACTTCTCTTGCTGTAGCTATTCTACAGCAAAGAATGCAGTGCACTGTAAGGGAGGACTGAAAACCAGTCATGTACCTGCACAAACTGGATGTGGTCATCCTCAGAGCTGTAGACCTCTGCCTGCCCCTCAAACAGGCTCCCATCATGCAATTTGTGATCTGCGGAGTAGTACAGCGTTTGCACCTGCAACAACAAGACCCATGTGGGTGTTTCCATAACAAGAACAAAGCAATGTTCTGCCTTGTTCCTTGAAGCAGTGGAGTCAGCTGCTATGAGGGAGGTCCTTGACAACTGTGTGCTGCCTGGACCTTGAGGGAGCCATGACCTTTCACATGTCTACGGTCACTGTGATTGTGGAAATTGCTGGAAGGGAGAGATCATTCCTATTATAAGTAACTTCGCTTCGGGTTAAAGAGCTATCTAAACAAATGATCGCCGCACAGTGGGATTGGAAAAAAGTTGCAAGGCTCTCAGGAACAGTGTGCACAGATGGGAGCATATGGTTTTTGGTAGGTTGACTTAGTACCACTGATGGTTGGGATCTTGCATTCTTCTTCAGGGCAGGACAAATCTGCTGTTGATGTGTATTACTACACCTACAGGAGACATGGGGAGATCAACGGGGAGGAGCAGCCATTAGAATCAAATTAATAATAGTCCAAAAAGCCCTGCTGGGGAGAAAACGTTGAGTTACAAAGACTATTCAGGCCCAGGGTATATACAGGATTCATGGAGTTAAATTTAATACATTTTAAGATTCTTTCCATACATTTTAAGACCTCATCGCCACTCCAAGTTTTAACCGGTTACATCGGCGACCCTTTACCTTACTGTACATTTACTATATATTGATTGTAAGATAGCACAACTAAACAGACTTACTTTGTGATAACTCCTTATCAATACAACATAATTCAGAAGTGGGGAACGAAGCACAAGAGAATTGAGTGACTAACCAATGCAACCCAAGAAACCAATAAACAAAACTTATAGAGGAGGGAAAATAAAGCTCTCCGAGCTAACGGGGCAATGAGTTCACGCAGTATATTCAAAAGAAGTATTGGTCATATCAACTCTTATAACTGTCTGCAAACCATAGCTGTTTTGTGGAACACTTCTCATGACAAACATCTGACTGATCAGACAGTTTACCTGTGATTACGGAATGCTTGATCTGATGCAGACTTGACAGCATGTCAGTATTAGGGATGTAACGATTAACCGCGAGCCGGTTGAAAATCGATTCAAATATGTGACGATTCAAATCGGTTGAGATACTAAACAAATCGCGATTCATTTAGGTGTAGGAGTTTATATGAATGCATGTCTGAGGGGAACTTACGGTCTTTAGAAAAGTTTAGATGGTATTTTTTCTTTTCATCTTGCCTCTGTATAACGCATATTAAAGTTCATAAAATCAGGGCTGCTTTGTTTACAGCGGAAACCAAGGAAACGCTTTAAGCGCCACCTGCTGGCAGAGAGTGAATCTGCATCTCGTTCAGCTCGTCTGCTGTTTCATGCAGATATTTTTATGTATAGTTTCACAAAACTGAAGTCAAACCATTCTGTTTTTGCTTCAAGTTTAGAAATTATACAATCTAATTCAGATTAAAAACTGCTCATGTTTGCATGTATGCAGCATCTTTGTTTGGATCAAGATTAAAATGCCGTGGTTGCCTCTTTTTTTTAAACGGAAAGAGCACAGACAAAGCCTTATTTTGTTTATATGAAGAGATTTATTTTATTTGTGTCAATGTAGTTGTTATTTACATTTACATTATATTTAAATTGTCACTTAGTAGACACTTTTATCCAAAGCGACTTACAAATGAGGATAACAGAAGCAATCAAAACCAACAAAAGAGCAGTAATATGCAAGTGCTATATTAGTGTTATATTTCAATTTCACAAAGAAATGTGCAGCATTTTGTCCAAGCA